GTTTTAAGCTTACATAAATACAGACGTTCAGTAATTCAGTATTTGTATACAAGTTATCTGACTACAGGTCTACTTTGAATTAAAAGGACAATTATTATGAAAAGAACTACAAATGTCACTTTATATGAAAGGACAACCAAAAAGTCACAACCATATGTGTGCAAAACAAGGCAACAAAATGATACCAGTTTGTTTTTCCCATGATACCACTGTCATGTTAAATATTTCTGCTCTGATAATCTTACTAGAACTATTACATGTTCATCCAATCAATGAAAACTATGAAATGTATCTACTAACTTCAGGAAACCAGTGCAAACCCAAAGATTCTCCCTTTTCCCACAGAGGAAAAATGAAATTGATACATTGTTTTCAAGATGTAAATACATAGCAACTATAACAAATATTTGCAATCTGTAACTTGGTGAGAATTTTTACATGGGAAATAGAACTCTAATATAGTTTAGAGACAGCCAACAGTTTTCTTACATTCTATTACAGTATTTGGGTTTACAAAACTTGTAGTGTTGGATTAGAGGTTATCAAGAGTTCACCAAGCATCAGATTCATATCTATTGAGCAGTATCATACCATACTCTGGTAGCTTTTCACTCATATTAAAAAATGTTCATCAGAACATTCAGTAATTCCATCAGAGACTTGTAGAATGTTGGTAAATGTTGTTTTGTTTATTTTTATTAACATTTGATTTTTTTAATGAATGAAGTCTCCTGAATGAAAATTACATTTGCTGTTAGAATTTTGCAAAAATTTAGAAAAAAAATTTCATCCCGCTCCTCTGAACTTTTTCTTCGCTGTGGTCAAAATGTAACATTATATATTAATATTAAACTCTCAAACTTTGTTTCAATAATAAATACAGCTCAAACAAATATACATTGCCCTGCAAAGTGTTTCTTTATAGTTTTGCCCCAGCACTTACACTCATTGAGTTTCTGAACAGCTGGCTCCAACTTTCTGAACTCCAATTTCCCAAACTTCCTGTCCAGTGCAAGGTCACAATGTACAGCACAGTCTCCAGAAGCTATCCATCTACTAGCTTGGAGAAGGGAGGAAGAAGGAAGGGGTAGTAGGGCGCAAAAGGGTGGGCTGCCTTGCTGTGCCTGTGTGTTTATGGACACACTTGGCTTACTAACACACACAACGGTGGCTCCATAGGACCCTGCAAGTAAAAGGAGCCACCCTAAAACAGGATATCAGGGTGAGCAGCTGATTCTTCAGGAAACTAAAACTTTTAAACATCAAGGAGCAACATCCATTGTAAATGAATTAATCAGCACTTGCAATAGCTTCAAAACCATTTTACTTGAATAATTTTAACTATTAGAAAACAGAACTAATGTTCTGAAATTCTACTGGAGTATAGCCGCTATACTTACTAAAGTAAATGAACAAGAGCTGGAAGAAATTTCATTCACGCAAATGTACCTGTGCATATCAAGCACAATCCCTGAACCTATGCAGCAAATTGTACACTAATGTTCAGGAAATATGGTGCAGTCCTAGTGTCAGGATACCCATCGCTAGTATGCTGCAGTATTAATGTGATAACTACACAGAGGAGACCTGACTCAAACTTAAGTGCAAAAAAAAATGATTTATTATAAACACATTATCATACGTGACATAAAACATAAATACACAACCCATTTACCAGGCATGAAAAGTGGAAAAGTAACTAACTACCTAATTAACTATGTACACATGCCAAACAGGGCAGAAGGGGAATCAGGGTAACCAGGTAGAGCAAGATCAGGTGGGAATACAAGGTAATAAGGAGACTTAAAAGTTCAAGAACTGGGACCAGAATGAGTAGCAGGTTTCGGGAGTAACAGATCCAAGTGTGAAGACTCAAAGATAAAATACTGAGGGTAATTTACTAATGGCCTCAAGGATACTCATGCAATAATTGTGTGAATACTCACTTCAACAATCTATTCATGAAATGTATGTTTGCTTATTTACTATCCACATGATTGGATAATTAAAGTGAATATTCACAGAATTTATTTGTGTGAAGATTCTCGATTTGTTCAGTAAATCTGCCCGACTGTGTGACTCCTGAAGTGGGTTCAATAGCCACCCAGCAGTCAGCATCAGGAGGTCACTAATAGCTTGGGCATACTGGCTGCTGAGAGACACCCACTGGTGGATACTGGAACTACACCAATTAAGTCCAGGAACCACAGTGCCACTAGCAGCTTTAGTGTATGTACAGGTTTTAAAATTGGAAACCTGGCCAGAGGCAACAGCATATGAAATCATGTACGTGTGACAACACCTGACATATCTGCACAGTCACACTGTGTGACCCTCAAAGCAGTGTGCACTTTTGCTTTTTTACTCTAGTGGTTCGTTAATAATGTACTTCTTGCATTTTAATTCTTACATGAGATTGTGTTTTTTATTTTACACATGCCTAAACGTAGATGGCTTACAGTATGGTATACCATTTCATGCTGTAACCTGTGCGCGTGTTTCCGTGCATTGCCTGTGCATAGTAAATACTGTAAGGATTTAAATTTCTTGTTTGTGCATGATTGATGTGCTGGCATATGTGCATCCATTTTTGTAAATCAGACCTTTAGTGTCTGTACTAATTGCTGCTGGTAATCTGCTGTCAGGGAGTGATCCAGTGAACAGCCGTTGGTCTTTTTTGAAGGTACCAATAGATTAATTAGGCATTTCAAATGCCAAAAGATCTTTTTTCAGTAACTAAAAATAACACAAGTTTTCTTTCTGTTATCTGTGCATAGTGAGTTAAAAGACTGTTGACAAATTTTAGGCAAATCTAAAAAGTTGTTTTGCACCTGATAACTCATGTTTTGTAGCCTGTTTGAATTTTGTAAGTAGTATTCAATACATTACACTTGGCCTATTAACTAATTCTCTAAATTCAATTATGATTTTATAGGCAACAATAGATCATTGTTGAATTATAAAATGTAAGTAGAGGGCTGCAGCTTAAGTGTGCAAGTTTTCATTGACTCAGAGTTTTTGTGGTCTGTCGTAAGAAATGGTCCATATATTGCAGATATGTTGGAACGCATATCTGACAATATTGCTAATCCCTGCCCATTCCAAGTGTTAAAAATGGCTCATGCTGTGCTCAGCCCAAAGTATGTTTCTGTGTGTAGTTGTTTTCTGTATAAGAACTGTGAACTTCCCTTTCACAGTTGTGTAAGTGATATTGGTATTGTGTTGTCAGAATATATAGCACAAGTGTACTATATATGTGCTATATGTAAAAAGCCACAAAAGAACTTTTAAGCAATTGGCAATAGCCATTTCCTGGACAGGAAATAGTCAGAAGAGCTTGACTGAAGATTCATAGTGGAAAGGTAAGCTAAGCTCTTTTAGTACATAGATCTGGTGCTTTCTCACTCTTGCTGTATCTTTGTATACACGTGCATTGGGCCCATGTGAATCAAGATTGAGGGGTTTCCTCCTGCCTATAAATTGGTTTTGACCTAGTAAAATTGTCTTTTAATACAGGTGCAAGTTGTTCATGGCTCACTATTTCTCTGTCAGCTGACATACAAGGCAGTTGATACATCCATTTTTAAAGGAGAACTATGGGGAAACATTTTCCCCCATAGTTCTCTTCAAAACTGAGCCTATTGCCCACTATATGCTGAGAGTACCGCAGCCGGGACGGATACTATACTGTCGAGATCCACCCCGCTGGCTGATTGACAGCTGGCTCTGCTTTTCTAGAGGCAAAGCCAGCTATGCCTCCCCTCCCCGTCTATTCCTTCAGTCAGCACTGGAGAAATGGAGAGGGGAGGAATCGTTGCAGGGAGTGGTGACTGCCAGTCACCACTCTCTGCAGGGAGAGAATCGGGAAGTCAGTGATCGGTGGTGTGTGTTTGCTGACTTCCTGATCAATAGAGCCGACCTGTGACAGCTTCTTTGTCACAGGTCGGCTTGAATTATGGGGGTGAGTGTTTTTCACTTACCCCCTAATTCTCCTTTAACAAAAGAAAAATGGAGACCTCTCTATTGGACCAGTCAAATGACTGTTAAGGGGCACCTTGCACCTGCTTCAAGACAACTTACCTGGAGGCAAACTAAATATACAGCTGGATGAAAAACTGCTGTGTGTTGTAACACAAAATATGCATTGTTAAGTTTCTAGTTAAGTAAAACTATGAATATTTTAGTTAAAAGATTAGGCATGCATGCATTTATTTTATAGAAGTTTAAGAAAAATAATTATTGATAGTTCCATATTTAAAAAGGCCATCGCTCACCAGAATAAAATTGGTAAAATTCTAATGGGTCTATTTATAAAGTTGTGAATGTGACTTTCAGTAAACCTTCTCTAGTGGAGAATTAATCACGGTCATTCAAAACACATAGACGTGGAAGATTCACCTGCAGAGAATGTTTACTATTGTTTATAATAACACATTCTCTGCTTTTTCATATCAAGTACTGATTATGCTAGAATTTACTATACAGACATTCATTACTGGGTACAGTAATCTTATCAGAAAGTTATTTTTTGTAAGGTAATACTAAACACTTGCTGCATAGGCAATTAAATGACACTGTGATAGTGATAGTTTAAAAATATGTTGTAGACAGTAAAAGTGGGAAAAGGTTATAGGTTCAAAATATAGCTAACCTAAGAGCCTCGTTTTAATATCATGTTGTTAATACCATGTTTTGTCAGACATCCAATCATAATTAATACTATTTTTAATGTCATTATATTAAAAAAATAGAGTTTTTTTTTCTCTCAGTACACTCACCATACACCATATAAAACAATATAGGGGAAGAACTCCTGATACTTTTATTTCTTTTTTTTGGATGGTATACCGAGCCCTTCCAACACTTATAATACCGTCTAGGAACCATGCTAGCCTTTCAAAGGTATCTAGGTGCTAGTTGTTCCGGATTAAAATTTTATATCATCTGTGCTGTTCATCGATTGCTGCATCTTCTTATTTCATTTATGTCTTCTTTCCAAGCGAGAATATCCAGGTTTCGGCTGGATCTATTTTAAGGTGAATTACATAGCCTAATATCTTTCATTTGTTTCCATACATTTCAATTCATTAGTAATTTCACTTACTTAAATGACTGTTTGAATGTATTTTGATAAACATTGTTACCTTCTTTTTTTTACCTGCCTTTCCCACAGGGAAATCTACCTCCAGATTACAGGATAAGCCTGATTGATATTGGTCTTGTTATTGAGTACCTCATGAGTGGAGCTTACCGTTGCAATTACACCAGAAAAAGATTTCGAACTCTTTATCACAATTTATTTGGACCCAAAAGGGTAAGTAATCATTTTACAGCATTATTGTAAATTGTAATAAAGCAATGCATTACTTTTCCATAAAGGCTACTTAACTTCATTGTATTTATGCTGTGTGTCCCAGATACTCGAGCATCACCCATTCTAAAAGGTGCAAAATATTCTGCTCCTGAAGTTTTCTGTGTCTTCCTTAGCAAAATATCCTGACATTTAAGCAAAATAAAATGTCATCACCTGAGTACAGCAATGCTTATCAAGTTACTAAACTATTTTGTACCTTATGAAGTGGATGATGTTAGAGGTCCTTTTGTCTACTGATGTCACACAATGCATAAAGTATTGTAAACATACATGTCAATATCAAATATCACAGAAAAGAACTACGGCAAAATATTTTAAACTCTGGTAAACTTTTATAGATTTTGATATTACATAATATATATTGTTTATGTATTATACCTTTATTGCATTTTTGAAAGGAAATACATAGAAACAATACATAATATCTACTAATAGCCAACTAGTTATAATAATCACTCTAGTTCCATTATGTAGGCTAATACTGAAGAGTAAATATCAAAAAGGGAAACATTAACATACATATCAGACATATAATTCCAAAGCATAACATAATATATCATAACCTCACATAAGAAAACATGACATAAAATGGAACATAAATCATAAACACATGAAAAGGGTACACACAAAAGGATTGGGACAATGTACAAGACAAGAACTCAGACATAGACAAAAACAGATTTGGCTGTAGTCAAGCTTATAACACATATAGGTCACTGGGTTAAAAAAAACACTATTTCTATCAATACTACAATTGCCAGTCGGCAAACCCAAGTTTTGTAAAATTGTGCAGGTTTTTCACCCTTCAGATGTCCAAGTTCTTCCAAGAAACTAATCTTATCTACTTTAAGAAGCCATTTATTTAAACCAAGGGTGCTGGGTGATTTTCAATATGTAGGTATTAAAGATTTTGCTGCATTCCGCATATGGGGACTTACAGGTTTTTTTTATACATCTCAAACAAGTCTTTAGTGAGATGAAACAGACAACCAAGAATTATATGGGACCACCACCCCAGTAATTTGAAAAATAAAATCCAGGACACCTTTCCAAATTTTTTTAATAAGTGGGAAGTCCCACCAAAAGAGGGGAAATAGAGGGGTATCCGGCATGTACCTTCACTGGGACATTATACCATTTAGCCAATAGTTTAAAATTCTATATAACATTATACTTTTTTTGTTAGGAAACGCACTAGCATAACTGTTATGGGAATAAAGTGTTCAGGACTCTTTGGAGTAAAAACAATCTATAGGAATCTCTCTACTACCACCTCACTATATATACATTATCACATTATCTTACATTATCACTGTGCTGTGAGCAAGAGTAACCAAAAGCCTCCTTATCTTCAAAAACATGTGATCCATTAAGGCACAGAAGCATAATTGATGCAGATTGATGTAATTATCAGTATGCTCCCATCTTGGAAACCACCTTGACAGAGCAAAGATATGGTCCTCAGAATAATTAAATAAAGACAACCATTTAAATTTACCTAGATGTTATCTTGACAGTGAAAGATAAAAAGGAGAGATCAATATTTCAGCCAGGATTGTAGACTTAAATTACATATATTTTGCAATATTTGAGAAAATGTAAGTGACTGGCATGAAGGACTTTTTCTAATACCAAAACTGTGCAAGCAACACTCAGATCTGTGCATGAAAAAGGATGTGTACCTTTATTATGCAATAGATTTTCTGAATTAACACTGTATAAACTGTAGTCTACCCATTGTTTAAACATGTTTACAGTGTTCTTAACATAAAAAGTGTTTGCACCAAAAAACTGTGAAAACACCTCTCTATTAATCTATTTCCACAGTCTTAAGAATAGTTTTGCCTTTGGGAAGCAAAGGAGTGAAGAAATCAGCAGCTAATATAAATCATTAGCTGCTGCCATCTTTTCAGCAATAACTTAGTATCCCCGGCTCTCATACCATATTAACGCGTGCTGATTACTTCTTATAATTTTATGAGCATATTAAATCATTTCGTATTATAATATTTGATTTCTTATGCAGCTCTAGCCCATCTCAGTCATTTTAAGCTAATATAACGTAACTTTACTTACTGCTTAGTGCCTCTAAATGTAATTAAATGTTTCTTTCCTTTTCTATGTTGACAAAAGGTTTTAGCAAGATTTCATTGAAAAACAAAACTTGCCGCAAAACCTTGCAGCAAAAGCTAAACTTATTTCTGTTATGGTTTAGTCCTCTATATGTATTGAAAGTCCTGAATGTCCTGACTACAGTGTACCATAAGCTAAAAATGTAAGCAAACTATATGTGTGGTCATGTCAGATTGCATTCACCTATGTTGTACATGTTTGTATAATTTCTTTATTTATTATTTCCGGAATAGCCAAAAGCAATGAAACTATTAGGAATGGAGGTGAGTTGAGTTTCTAAATTATTTTATTGTTCCTGTATTAAAGATGAGATGTCAACGACTATCTTATTTCTCCAATGATATATTAAAACTCAAAATAAAATTATATAATGTATAATTTATATAAAATAAAATAATATAATTTCGGCCCTTATAGTCCTTTCATTCCCTAAAATATGTGTATGGATAATTCTATGGCAAGAATCAACCTTAAAGTGTAAGTGCACTTTAAAACAAAGTGCACATATCCCAGTCCCCCACCCTTGATGTAAACAATCCACCCTCCCCCTCCATTGATCCGTACCTACCAAGATCCAATGGGCACGGTTCCTCAGTTGTTTAAATTTCAGCACCGCAGTGCTTCTTCTGCTGGCTGCAGCTGCATATTACAGCCCCATAGACTTCATAGACACGGCCAGGAGAGGGGGCTTGCACCACTGGATGTCAGCAAACTGTGGAGCAGTGGTCCATGGATCTCAGTAAGTATAGATCTGCAGAGGGTGAGTGTGGGATCGTTTAGGTCAGGGGAGGAGGGCAAAAAAAATAAGTGCACTTTGTCTAAAAGTGCACTTATTCTTTAAGGATGAAGCTTCATCAATGTTTGAAAACCAGCTTATTGAACTTATTTCCAGTTTATTGAACTAATTTCTCATGATTGGTTTAGACAAAAAACCTAACTTGTGTATAGATGCATAGCCTTGGATGATTTTTTGAAACTTTGGCATTTTTATGGATCTTACCCACCACTGTAAACATTAATGTCATGTGTTCAGTGTAAATTTCAAACATGTTAAGACAACATTTGAAAATGTATTTTTCTTGCCAAGCTACTATTACCACGGTGTTGACTTACTAAAGACACATAGCTCATCTGCAAGGGAATTTCTTGGGTATTCTTTGCAAAGTTAAATTTTATCACATTAACCAGGCTATAAGAAACTTCCCATGCAAAGTGCACATTCCATTGTAAAGTGGACCGCCTATTTGCCTTTAATAAAATCAACAAGTATTTTGGGTTTCATCCTTTTGTAACTCTTCTTTTGCACAGTCTTATGGACCAGAATATTTGAATACAATAATGTAAAGTACAAAGAATCCATGCCTACTTTTTAGCTATGTTTTTTAAATGATTATGGAAAAGATATTACTAGTTTTTAGGATGGACCATGCACTGGTACAGTGCTTTAGAGCAAAGGTTTGTCAGTTCTTTTGGTCCACCTCACCATAAGCAAACTCTCTATCCTAATTTAATACTTTTCATTACTGGTATAAAATGTAGCATACATTATTCATTTATGGCTACCACACTTTATAAAAACAATAGAATTTTTTTTTTTTTACTATCCACATTACTGGTCCTGCTTGCTACAAGTGTTGTATTATTTTTATACATGTTATAGTAATATATTTGTTCTCGACACTAGGATCTCAGTACTTGCAGTTTTCAGTACAGGGCTTCTGACATCAATAACAATAAACAGATCTGCACTTCTCCTAACAGTAGAAAAAAAGCAAAAACACATAAGTATCCCCTACACTGATAACCCTCCGCTGTCTAAAAACTCAACACCCACCCTGGACCTTGAAACTAATCCTTGATACATAATGATAACTACCTCAACACTTAACCTGTTCGTTAACAATTACATTTCCAACCCAAACCCAGAGTCTAAGCCCTAAAGCTAGCTCTTAACATATGACCCCTCCACCCCAACAACAGATAACAGGAGTGGGGAACCTGCAATCTGGGATGGAGCAAGGGTCTGCCAAGTAAAACAATGGCTACCACATTACCCATTTACAATTTTTGTTTACTTGTGGAGCCCTTGCATCATCAGCATGTAAAGGGAGGATCCTGGGTGGGGTGTCTCTGCTTGTGATGAACTGTATAGTTGATTTTATCCTTTGGAAGTGGTGTGCAGCTCCAGAACTTTGCTTAATGGTGTGTGGATGAAACGGACCCCAAGAGAGTGAAGACTTGTGAGCTGGAATTGAGGATTGCAGAGGTCTTAGAGGCTTTTCTGAGGGACAAAGAAAAAAATGGAAATCTGACAGGTGACACTAGTCCATAAACAAAAGCACAGCCAAGAGCCAACCCCTCATGGTGGATAAGTACCATCGATGCTAGAAACAGCCAGTTTATCACCTAGTGTTAAGGACTAAGGATCTAAGCTCCCTGATGGAATATCAGTTCATTTTGCAGAGATTTCTTTTGCTTCCAACTTTAAGACCTTCAATAAACTGCTGAGCTGGGCGATAGCCTAGTAGTTCCAACAGTTCGGCCAACAAGAGCATGCAGATCCTAGCTACGTGCGGGTTCTGCTGCCCCAGCCCTATCCCAGATTGGTGTGGCTTGTGGGTTATCTCAGGGGGGCACATATGACTGAGTGACTTGTTGCTCAGTCACAGTGTCCCTCTGTGCAGACAGCGCTCCTTCTCTGGCAGAAGGTGGCCTATCATAAGGAAGGAACCCTGTTTTCATGGGTCAGGATGTGGTGAATACATATACTCCTTTCCTCCTTCATGGATGGCTTGGAGTGGCTGGTGGGTATGTCTTTTCTTCCCCTTTGCTTACTCCCTCCTCCAGTGTCATGTGTCAGGGAGATGCTGGTCGGTGCCCTTAGCACTATGGGCTGGTTATAGATACAGCCGGTGCTCTCCTGGCTTTCCTCTGCTGGACAACTTGTGGACTGGCCACATGTTTTATTATTAGCAGAAGCTCTGGTAGCCATTTTGGGGATGGGTGCCGGTGGCCATATTTAGTATGGGGAGTGCCAGCATATAGCCTATGTAGTCTATGTTATCATCCCTGGCTTGGATCTGAAGACCCTAAATGCCTAGTTTTTGCAAGACTTTTGCCTGGAATCCATCAGGTCTGTCTTTGTCTCCCTTCACCAGGAATGTATTGCATCCTGTGGACATCATTGCTTTATAATATTTTGTATTTTAATATCTAACAAGAAGGTTACATTCAGGCTCCATTTAGCTACACTGCTTAAAACAGCCGGTTTCTTACAAAGCTCAATGGGGTTGATTTGCTAAAGGCAAATAGGTTGTTTACTTTGCAAGGCAATTTTCCTTTAAAATGTATGCATAAAATAAATGTTTTTCTTAGCTTTAACTCCAATCCAGGGCTCCACTGGAGAAATTCACCCTTGCTCCCTATCCTTCTGACAACATTTTAGAGAAAATAACATTTCTGTAGTCACGGTAAAATCCTTTTTTCTGAGTTCATTAGAGGATACAGCACCCTTCGCTGTTGTTGTTTCTGTGACCAGTTTTCTATGTACTGCTTTGGGACCAACTGAGCTGCCTCTAGAAAATGGGGGGGTTTGGCCACCAAAGGGGCCACCCCTAGGCTGTGCTTATATTTTTTCCCCTAGTGTCCTACTCCTGAAGGTGTAGGTGCTGAAGATCCACTGTGTCCTTCAATAAACACAAAGAAAAGGTTTTTAAGGGAAGCCTTAGTATCAGCCTCGTGCAATTCCCTGTACAGCAGGCGGAGAGAGGGAGAAGCAGCACAATGAGTCAGTCAGGTGTGCTGCAATGTGCTGACAACAAACCTGCTAACAGAAGACAAGAGCAAGCAGAGTGACAAAGAGCTCAGCGTGCTGCTTCCCTTTTCACTTTCCAGTCACAAGCTGTGGGAATTAACCAGTTTAAGTGAGACTTTACTGCAGCAAACTAAAATCAGGCCTCCTGCCCCTGAGTAGCAGGGCTGTGTACATCTCTGAAGTGGATGGGCAGAAATGTTAAAGGTACAGCTCCCATATATGTATTTCATCTCTGTATTTAGGTGTTTGCCTGGATTTCAACTTTAACTAAGATCCTGATAACCTCAAATATAAGCTGGTAATTTTAAGTCAACTATTTTGGTATTTAGTAACACGTTGCTTTGCCTGATGTTTTTATGAAGTATACAGCTAACTTTTATGTTTACAATAGGATGATATCCCAATGAGGAGAGGAAGAAATACTACAAAGAAGAAGGAAGAAGAGGTGGACATAGATCTAGATGACCCTGAAATAAATCATTTCGCTTTCCCCTTTCATGAGCTTATGGTATGGGCAGTTCTAATGAAAAGACAGAAGATGGCTTTGTTCTTCTGGCAACATGGAGAGGAGGCAATGGCTAAGGCTCTTGTGGCTTGCAAGCTCTGCAAGGCAATGGCACATGAAGCTTCTGAAAATGACATGGTTGATGACATTTCACAGGAACTCAATCACAACTCCAGGTTCTCATTATTTAGTAGTACATTATTATTTTTTTTAACAGGAAATGTGTATGATCCTAAAAGAAAAAACTAAAAACAAAGGCATATACCAAGTAGCCCCTACAAAACTCTTATAAAGTCTTCATTTTAATATTATAATTTGATAATATAGAGGGGGAGGCTGCACTTGCAGCTAATGCAGGTTCCACTACATTGTGATAAGGAATATACACACAGGAGGGGAGAGCACAGAGAATGTCCATTCACTTAAAGGAGCAGACCAGGCTCTATTGTTTATCTGAAGTGCAGTCTGCAGGAAGGTCTGGCAAAGGTACTGGACCACAAGAGTATCCAAACAGAATTAAACATTCTATGGTAGGTAAAACTACTAAACTACTAAGAAACTAATAACATTATAAGCTGTTTTACTGAAGTTCTACTTCAATAGAACAATAGTTGAATAACCTAAAATGATTGGAGAACTGCATATAAAGCCTGTTCACTGGCCTGCATAATACAGATATTTATAAGCAGTGTGTGCATACAATATTGGCTGCAAATTGAAATATAACATAACAAGCTAAACTATGTACGTAATATCTAAGATAGGACTTTATCAGATGTAAATCATACTGGATTTTATTTAACAAGCTATATAAACAAATAACTATCTTATAAAGTCTATTTAGTCCCTCAACAAACAATCAGATTCTCAAAAGTAATTTTCGAGAGAAAAGTCAAACCTGACTAGTTGAAGCAGCACAGACTGTCTTCACTTTTATGCTTTACTAAATCAGACATGGTATAGTTATGTTGCTAAAATGTTGTGATCAGAACTAATAAAATATAATTCGCTCAACAAGATTATAGTAAATGAATAAAAAAATAAAATAATCAGTTCTTGTATGAATGTCACGTTAGTGTGAAACAACAAAGTATCCTATTAAACATATGATAAACACCAGAGAGAATGAAAGTGACTAATTCAAGTGTATGTACTGTATAGCCCAAACATTTTTTATAGTTTTGGAGTAGGGAAGGGTTAAATCTAGGGATGCACTGATACAATTTTATCCAGACCGTGTACGAGTACTGATTCTTTTCCTCATGAACTCACCGATACCAATTACCGATTCTTTTTTTTATTGTCATGTGACAGTTTTTCTAAAACAATACAGAGTAATGATTTTATGACAGTAGTAGAACGCCAAGGTCTGGTCCCAGCTGCAAACGCTGCGCATCTGGTAGTTCTGCCACTGACTCCAAGCTGTAGAGGGACTACAAATTTCAGCAATACATTATACAACAATGCAAAATATCACCAGCTATAGAAGACTACAAATCCCAGAGGCACATTATACAGCAATGCAGAATACCACCAGTAGTAGAGGACTACAAATCCCAGTGATACTTTATATAGCAATACAAAATAACACCAGCTATAGAGGACTACAAATCCCAGCAATACATTATACAGCAATGCTGAATAGCAACCAGCTATACAGGACTACAAATCCCAGCAATGCATTATACATGAATGCAGAATAATTTGAAGCTACATAGCTACATTTTCTGTGCTACTCAGGGGTGCTGGCCTGATGTCTCCAGTGAAGGGTCTCAGGAGGGCTGTGCAGGGTCTCACGTAGCTGTACAGGTTCTATGGTGGGATGTTCAGCCTCTCAGGTGGGCTGTGCAGGTTCTAGGATGGGCTGTGCAGACTCTCAGGTGGGCTATGCAGGGTCTATGGTGGGCTGTGTGGGCTCTCAGGTGGGCTATGCGGGCTCTTTGGTGGACTGTGCGGCAGACTCGATGGTTGGCTCTGCAAACTCTCAGTTGGGCTGAGCAGATTCTATGGTGGGCTGTGCGGACTCCCAAGTGGGCTGTGGAGGGTCTATGGTGGGCTATGTAGACTCTCAGGTGGCTATGCAGGGTCTATGGTGGGCTGTGCTGGGTCTATGGTGTGCTGTACAGGTTTTATGGTGGGCTGTGTGGACTCTCAGGTGGCTATGCGGGGTCTATGGTGTGCTGCGTGGATTCTCAGGTGGCTATGCAGGATCTATGGTGGGCTTTGCAAGCTCTCAGGTGGGCTGTGCAGGCTCTATTGTAGGCTGTGTGGACTCTCAGATGGGTTATGTGGGATCTATGGTGGGCTGTGCAGACTCTCAGGTGGGCTGTGCAGGTTCTATGTTGGGCTGTGCAGACTCTCAGGTGGTTATGTGGGGTCTATGGTGGGCTATGCGGACTCTCAGGTTGCTATGTTGGGTCTATAGTGGGCTGTGTGGGGTCTTTGGTGTGCTGTTCAGGTTTGATGGTGGGCTGTGCGTGCTCTCAGGTGGGCAATGTGGGGTCTATGGTGGACTGTGCGGGTTCTCAGGTGAGATGTGCAGGTTCTATGGTGGGCTGTGCGGACTCTCAGGTGAGGCATGTGGGGTCTATGGTGGGCTGTGTGGACTCTCAGGTGGCTATGCGGGGTCTATGGTGTGCTGCGTGGATTCTCAGGTGGCTATGCAGGATCTATGGTGGGCTTTGCAAGCTCTCAGGTGGGCTGTGCAGGCTCTATTGTAGGCTGTGTGGACTCTCAGATGGGTTATGTGGGATCTATGGTGGGCTGTGCAGACTCTCAGGTGGGCTGTGCAGGTTCTATGTTGGGCTGTGCAGACTCTCAGGTGGTTATGTGGGGTCTATGGTGGGCTATGCGGACTCTCAGGTTGCTATGTTGGGTCTATAGTGGGCTGTGTGGGGTCTTTGGTGTGCTGTTCAGGTTTGATGGTGGGCTGTGCGTGCTCTCAGGTGGGCAATGTGGGGTCTATGGTGGACTGTGCGGGTTCTCAGGTGAGATGTGCAGGTTCTATGGTGGGCTGTGCGGACTCTCAGGTGAGGCATGTGGGGTCTATGGTGGGCTGTGTGGACTCTCAGGTGGCTATGGGGGGTCTATGGTGGGCTGTGCAGACTCTCAGGTGGCTATGTGGGGTCTATAGTGGGCTGTGTGGGGTCTATGGTGTGCTGTTCAGGTTCGAGGGTGGGCTGTGCCTGCTCTCAGGTGTTCAATGTGGGGTCTATGGTGGACTGTGATGGTTCGAGGATGGGCTGTGCGTGCTCTCAGGTGTTCAATGTGGGGTCTATGGTGGACTGTGATGGTTCTCAGGTGAGATGTGCAGGTTCTATGGTGGGCTGTGCGGACTCTCAGGTGAGGCATGTGGGGTCTATGGTGGGCTGTGTGGACTCTCAGGTGGCTATGGGGGGTCTATGGTGGGCTGTGCAGACTCTCAGGTGGCTATGTGGGGTCTATAGTGGGCTGTGTGGGGTCTATGGTGTGCTGTTCAGGTTCGAGGGTGGGCTGTGCGTGCTCTCAGGTGTTCAATGTGGGGTCTATGGTGTGCTGTTCAGGTTCGAGGGTGGGCTGTGCGTGCTCTCAGGTGTTCAATGTGGGGTCTATGGTGGACTGTGATGGTTCTCAGGTGAGATGTGCAGGTTCTATGGTGGGCTGTGTGGACTCTCAGGTGGCTATGGGGGGTCTATGGTGGGCTGTGCCGACTCTCAGGTGGCTATGTGGGGTCTATAGTGGGCTGTGTGGGGTCTATGGTGTGCTGTTCAGGTTCAATGGTGGGCTGATCAGGCTCTATGTGCAGGGTCTACGGTGGACTGTGCGGACTCTCAGACGGGCTATGCGGGTCTATGGTGGTTTATGCAGGATCTATGGTTGGCTGTGCAGTGTCTATGGAGGGCTGTGCAGGTTCTATGGAGGGCTGTGCAGGGTCTATTGTGGGCTGTGCAGGCTCTCAGGTGAGCTATGTGGAGTCTATGGTGGGCTATGCGGAGTCTATGGTGTGCTGTGTGGACTCTCAACTGGGCCGTGTAGGTTCGATAGTGGGCTGTGCGGACTCTAATGTGGGCTGTGCAGGCTCTATGGTGGGCTATGCAGTCTCTCAGATGGCTTTTTGGGGTCTATGGTGGGCTGTGTAGACCCTTAGGTGGCTATGTGGGGGTCTATGGTGAGCTGTGCAGTGTCTATGGTTGGCTGTGCAGGGTCTGTGGTGGGCTGTGCAGGGTCTATGGTGGGCTGTGCGGTCTCTAAGGTTGCTCTGCAGGCTCTATAGTGGGCTGTACGGGGTCTATGGTGGGTTGTGTGGGCTCTATGCTGGGCTGTGCGGTCTCATACCAGGATTCCCGGTCGCTCTCAGCACGTGCGGGTGGCGGCGTGCAGGCACAGGAAGGAGAAGATTTTTGGCTAGCACTGAAAACATGTGCCGCGCTTTACAGGTAGACCACTGGAACCTTGCTGGGGACTTTGAGAAGCCTTCCTGTAAATGGTGGCGCCTGTTTACAGTGCCGGCTTAGGTTTAAAATTTAAAATGCTGGTATCGGCGCTTAGTATCAGGGCATTTTCACAAGTACTCGTGAAAATACCCAGTATCGGCACCAATACCGATACTGGTAGCTTTATCGGTGCATCCCAAGTTAAAACCATTACCAGCTTACTTTGATATCTAAGTATCACTTGGGAAATTTCTCTTCACTTCCAGAGACACAACAGGAAGTTAGAGGAATAACCTTCTTAAATAGTTGTGCACAAAACATTTCCTCTTTAGTTCTATTATTACTAATATTATTATTATTAATATTATTGTACAGGATTTATATAGCGACAACATATTTCACAGCACTTTTCAACATATTTATTTTTTGGTGACAATGGTCACCAGTACAAAAACAGGGGTAACTCTCCCTAATGGGGACACAGACAGTAATACAAAATAGACAGAGGGTCTAACTCTTCCCCACTCTATCCAAAATTGGAAAAAGATTTTGCCTAGAGATACAATTTAATGAGCTCACTAATCATTAATGCATCATGAAATTTTATTTTCAAATACAAGCAGTGTAAGTAGCTGAAACTTACCTGGTATCAGCCTCTTGCAATCTACTACACAGTCTGTACAGCACATCTCAGAGAAGGGGAGGCAAAAGCAGCACAAAGAGCCAATTAGGTGTGCTGCATTGCAAGGACAATGCTGGTAGTAATAAAGAGCAGAATGGCAGAGAGATGAGCTGTGGGTGGGCAGGAGATGTGTAAGTGAATCTGCAGCAGAGAAAAATATGGTCCCCTCCTCTGCCAGATGGAGCTGGGTAAATCTCAGGACTGAATGGACAGAATTAAAAATTGTTCGCTAGGTAAACAGCTCTCACATATGCATAAAATCTTTGTATTTATCTGTTTGCCTGTAAGCTGTTTAAGTTTAGCTTTACGTGCTTAACATCTTATACAAAGGTATATAGGACATTCAGTAGGCTGTCTCATGTCCATCCTTACGTTATGATCTAAAGCTGCCAATCAGGTTCAAAATGTTATTCTTCTACTGTAATTTTTCAGTACAGTGTTCAATCTGGTTGCTGTAAACAGCAAAGACTGTGTATTGTAGTTCTTCCATTAGACACCTTGACAAGTAAGACTATAAAGCTCCACAGAAGAAAAAAAAGCAAATTCTTTGTAAAATTTGGGTAACTAAGAATATTTATTCTTTGTTTCAGGGAGTTTGCGCAGCTGGCCGTTGAGTTATTGGACCAGTCATACAAGCAGGATGAGCAGTTGGCAATGAAACTATTGACCTACGAGCTGAAGAACTGGAGCAACGCCACTTGCCTGCAGCTTGCCGTAGCAGCCAAGCACCGGGACTTCATTGCTCACACATGCAGCCAAATGCTTCTGACAGATATGTGGATGGGTAGACTGCGAATGCGTAAAAATTCTGGTCTAAAGGTTGGTGTCAAATAAGGTGACTAAATAGCAAAGCCATTTATTTTTCAAGGTCATTATATTTTTTCATTTAAAAAACCCAAAGCAAACACATTCAAATTTACGTCCACAACTTCGAATACTATAAATAACTTAAATGATAAAGCACACTGAATTTGTTTGTATTGGATATAGATGATTATGTTTTTAAATATCATGTGTAGTCCTGAAAATGTAAAAGAATATAAATAACAATCAGTTCAAAATAAATGTTAAAATAGCTAATATTTTAAGTTACTTGTGAATTTAATGTAAAATGCTTTTAGGGGTTATTCAAATGTAGGGAGTAATTAGTTATTTATAACAATGCAAAATATTTACATAGGCTGGCCCAAGAGAAAAATAGAACTACCATATATACAAACCAGTGACTTTTTATTTTGTACCTTATATATATATATATATATTTGGTATTCCTTTATTAACGCAACATGAGAAAAAAGTTTACAGAAGAACATCAAAAAATATAAACAATGTAAATACAGCTGCCCAGTAGAGGGCATCACGTAAAATACTGATGACAACCGAAGGGTCATAATAGAAAGTACACACAAGCAAACAAACATGTCAAGAACATCAATCAAAAATGGGGTCTATTCACTAAGCTGCCGTAGGCAGCCGAGTGAACGACCGACCGACCGACCTGAAGTGAAGTGAGCCAAACGCTGTTCGGCTATTCACTTCAGGCTGGTACGGCTGATTTCAGCCGTATATCGGGGTCCTGGGGCCGAAGCTAGCCGAAGGATCGGCCGAAGCTACGGCTAGATCCTTCGGCTGCTTCGTGAATAGACCCCAAAGTGTCTATAACAGGTATAATGTGCATTTTGGGACAGGTAGAAACAACTGTAATTGTAACAAATTGTGTAGACAGTGAAATGCAACATAGTAAGTCAAACCCGTTATCTTACAAAATAAGGAACCCAAAAAGACATCAAGAGCAATTGAAGAGGGAAGATTGAAGGTAGAAAGAGAGAAAAGACAAAAGGAGGAAGAGCCAGAGAGAGAAAAAAAAAACACATGTCCCACCCCCTGAAAAACTCTCTTAAGTCTGGCCCATTATATTCTAAGATTCTGTAGAAACCTTATTTGTTATGGTGATCATTACATTTTATCACTTTTTTTTTTTGTAAAAGGATTACAAATATTAATAGATACTGTATGTATATTATTACAAAGGCAATTTCTTACATACTTTCTCAATGTACATTAAAGTGAATATAGAGGAATGTAGGGAGTGGGGGTTAGGTTTAAGAATAAAAAAAAAAACAGTAATATATTTTCCATTTTTTTTAGACAGGTAAATCCACCCTTAACTGCTTTGCATAAAAAAATCTTCTTTATTTTTGGTTGTTTATAAATAAAGAATTCTAAAAAAAACAGTGAAATATGTAAAATATCAGTTTAAAAACATGTTAACATAGAAAAATAAAATAAAAACCGTTATCATTTCTAAGTATTTGCATTAGTCTTTTAAAACCCCTCTAGTATGAAAGTAGTTCTGCCAATAGATAGGCGCACTATAAAACATGATTTAAAAATTCAATTGTTGGAAGCTTAACCACAATGCTGTATTCAAACCCTTAAATCTCAGATACACATTTGTATTCAGATATCGGCAGTATCTACTTTCTCATCCAATGTTTCTGTAAATAAACCAGAACTGCTGTGTGCAAATAGACCATTTAAGAATGCATGTACTGCTGCTTCTGACCTTGTCTTATTATTGCCTCTTTAGGTGATTCTAGGACTTCTTCTCCCTCCTTCAATTCTTAGCTTAGAGTTCAAAAACAAAGATGAGATGCCATATATGTCCCAAGCAAATGAATTGGAACTGCAAGAAAAGGAAGTGGAAGAACCAGACAAGACCGTAAAAGAGAAAGAAGATGATGATATGGAGCTAACGGTATGGTTGAGTAATGCTGATCGCTATTTAGAGTATATCCTCCCTAGAAATGCAATATAGTGTTATTAATGATCAACTGAATATTGCAATTTCATGTGTCATGTTTAGTCATCTTACCTCTGGGTAACATCCCATCCACACTCGGCCATCCTGCTCAGTCCCTCACCTTTCTCCTTAAACACATTTAATTTTACTAATACCCTGTTCTGGTTCATGCAAAATGAACTGTCATGTACGCTTCTAACAATGACTCCTCTGGTGTCTGTGCCTTGAATTCATTCCCTTTCATGCATCGTTACTGACTTTACTAATATTTCAATATTTTATAGTTATCTATATGTTACATATTTTGGAAACTTTTTAAATCTTGAATAACTCACATGATAACAAAGTTGAACAATGAATTTTAATAATATAGCCTTTCCCGGCAACCAGTTTTAGTCAATATTTACGTCTTTTTTTCATGACTCAACTGTAGTTCTCCAATTTATTTTTATATTGCTTCATTGGCGGGAATTGGAACTAGATAAATTAAGCTTTGATGTTCTTGGAGGCAACTGCCTACAGATATATGAAGGACAATAAGAACCTTAAAGGGATGGGCGGTTTAAAACAAAACTTTTTTATGCAGGGAGTGGTGAGGGCGTGGAATCGCCCACCTGAGGAAACAATCCAAGAAAGACTGGTGGACTTCAAGACAAAATTAAATGCTGTAAGTACTTGGGACCCACGGTCATATCCAGAGGGTGAGCAGGATGGACAGATTCTTTATTTTCTTTTGCCACTCCTTCGCTCCCTACATTTAGTGTTCCGGTTTAGATAACCCATTCACTTTGCATTCTTATCTCTATCTCCTTTTCCCATTCTTCACCATATGAGAGTGCTTTTAAAATTTATTTTGATGGTTCGAGCAGCCGATGTTATTCTAAATGAGCTAGTCACAAGTATATAATTAAACAGAGAATGCACCAGCTTTATGATACCTATACATACAGTTTATAACAATACAATATATCAAATCAAAGGGTACTCATAAACGGTATATATCATAACATTGTATGCATTGAAATCCACATGGCTGCTGTAGTGTACCAGGTGAACCACTACGAGCAACACAGTCCGGTCTGCTCTCCTCTTGCAGCCGCTACTTCCCTAGAGTGATGTGCATTCTGGATAGAAGCAGTGCTGTAGATGTAGAGGAGACCGAACTGTGCATTCACAATGGCTGATTTTACTTAAGGCAAATAGGCTGTTCAATTTGCAGGAGAATTTGTACTTTGTAGTGGATGTTTTCATTTAGTTCAGTGAATGAGATGAATCTCTGCTAACTTCCATTACCCAATCACGTGCAAGCAAAAATGCTGTTATTATTTATTTTCCAATGCTATGAGCTGTTTGTGTATATAAAAGGACAGAAACCTAATGTAGAGATACCCTGGTCATGAAATTCAAAGGAAACTTAATCCAATCTTTTGTTTTGTAAAGGATACAGGCTATGTTCAGTTATTATTGTTGATGGTTTGCCCCACTCAAAAGATTTCCCCTTACTTCTTGACTTGGTTATTGGTTTCCAGGGTGTAAGTGTAAACCAGTGTTCAGGTTCCATTGTAATTATTGTTTACAATACAATGAAAAAGACCTTCCATGGCAACAAATACACTGGAACTATAAAATCATAGGATTACATTTAAAGGAGAACTATGGGGTCAGTGCTTTTCTTGGGGGTGAGCTGGCCAGGGAGGTATGTACTGTCATTTGGGGGTGAGACCAGGGAGGGATGTAGTGTCATTGGGGGGTGAGGAGACCAGGGAGGGATGTACTGTCACTGGGAGGTGAGCTGGCCAGGGAGGGATGTACTGTTACTGGTGGGTGAGCTGGTCAGGGAGGGATGTACTGTCACTGGGGGGTGAGCTGGTCAGGGAGGGATGTACTGTCATTGGGGGTGAGATGGCTTGAGGGACGGGTGCTCAGTGTCGGGTGTTGGGATCCTTTTGAGGTCCCTGGCAAGTCAGTATCAGGTGTTGGGGTCTCATGTGGGTCAGTGAAGGTGTAGGGCCCAGTCCCAGTTGGACTGGCCGCTTGTAATTCACAATTAATTCCCCGGGCGCCCATAACTCTGTTTACGCCACTGTATACAGTGTGTATGTATATATATATATATATGTATATACAGTATATACAGTATACACTGTATATATAACAAATCATACATTAAAACAGGGATGCACATATCCTAGGAGCCCCGTAGACAATGCTCCTTAAAAATGACAGCTTCCTCCTAACTTTTGAGTTATTCTCTAGTCTAGTAGCTGGAAAAGTATCTGTACTTGTATCAAGTACGGTACTTCGTGTCTGTGCATCCCTAGAAAAAACCCTTGTACACTTAAAAACATTTAAACATTTTCTGCTTTATGTGTAAGGTGCTCCACTGGTGCTTAGCAAACTCCTCATCCTTGCCAAGTCCCTATATCCAAAAGCAACATAACTAACTCCAAAACATATTGGTGGAGGTACTATTCTCCAGGCTGCCAGCTCAGTCACCATTTAGTGTGCACTAGTTGTGGCATTTTTCATTCCTAGTATGTTCAATGCCCTTTACAGTTTTTCTACTATCGCACCCTCCCTCTTTATTTTTTGCTTATGTGAAGAGATAGTCCTGAACCTTCCTTTGTGACCTGACATCTGATGGTATATGCTATGATCAAGTCACTACATTATATGTGCATTTGTATTCATATTTTATTGATTATCTGCACTATCCGATACACTGTTTGCTTTATTGTCCACTTTATGCCGATATTGAATCCTACAAGAGACTCCATGTAGCAACACCAAGAGGTCACAACCTCCCATACACTACCATTTCCACAGGGACCAAAAGCCCCTTAGGTTACCTTAAGCACACACCATAGGTGAAAGTTGTTCTACAATACGTTAACTTGGATATACTGGCATTGTACATGAAAGAGAGCACCATCTGATTTTTTCAGTAATCAGCACAGAAAGAATTGATAGCATGCCATTACAACCAAAAAGAGCTCATGTTTCTGTAGTACATTCCTTAGCATGTATTGCACCTTTCTCTATGCTTTTAAATGATGGAGTAGGGATGGCATCTTGGTGAATCCCTGGGATTCTCAAAGTTTATGAATGTTAAACTCTTACCAAAAAAGATCACCAGTTTACAGCCAGTATAAGAAAGAATCTATATTGCAGTGCATTTGGGTGAGCTCACAGCAGTCATTTGTCAGTTTTTATTGGATCGATTACAGAGAAAAGACAGCTGTCTCCCAATGACTTCAGAAGTGAATATGGCTGCACGGGACCTGGTGTGTGGTGGAGGATTGGCAGTTTCCAGCAGGACAACGCTGGATTATCTGGGCAGATGAGAATGCTATTTGAGCCCAACCCAGCAGACAAGCTAAGAGTGGGTTAAAAGCAAAATTAATTTGGGAAGAGAAAGGGCAGTTCCTCTTTAAGGACCACGCATTTATCCCTAAATGCCCTTGAGTTTTTTCATTTTGGTGTTGTCTCGGTTCCACGCATTATACCTTTTAGTGTTTTTAGTCTAGCCTAATGTATTATAGATCAGTTTTTTTGGGACAGATAGGGCTTTAATATGATCACATATTTAGATACATAAATTTTTTCTCTTGTTTTTAATGGCAATAATTGGTAATTAACTAAAAATGCATTTCCTGTCATTTCTGTTTGTAATTTGTGCCCCCCCATTTATTTACCCCAAAATATAATCAACAAATTCCGCTCATTAAAATAATATCCCATTAGCATTTTATGTATTGTAGCAAAATGTTAAAGCTCAAAGTAAATGTACTGCATGTATTATACTTTGGGAGAGCACAAAGGCACTGTCCCTGTGTTGTTTTGAAATGGCACCTGGGACTCAAGTGGTTAAAGTAACTCCTTTAACTGTTAATTTTTGGTGTTCTCTTGATAATTGATAATATGAACCATAGTAAAATAGAATAGGGTACAACTATTTTAACCCAAAGTCACTGTTGCTGAAGATGGTACATGCTCTCTATGCCTGCTGCCTTTGTACTTTGATTCACTTTACACTAACCCCAAGTGATTTCTACATCCAAGAGATCATGAAGTGTCATAGCAATTTGCATGGCTTGTCTCTTGATTCTGCATTTTACAGCAGACTTTGGGAATATCGTCTTTATTTATAGTCGCAAATTAGGTGGAAATAAGGACAATGCTTTGAAAGTAGTCTCTAGCTGATTTGAAATGTAAATTCTGTAATATTAAGGATGTGTCAGGCAGTAATTAAAATTAATGAAATGCATGGACTCCATTCAGCAAAACACAAAGCTCGTTTCTACAGAATAATACTTGTCAGAAATTTCACTTTAGAACAAAATAAGACAAAACAATGGATTTAATGTTTACTGTGAAAGTCTTCAATTATAAAGTCATGATTAGTGTTATTGTACATTGATCAAATCCAGCAAAACAAACCAAAACAGACAGGAAATGTTGTGCAAGGATGAAAATTCAACTCAACAATGTGATAGATTGCTTGAGTAGAAAGTAAAGTACATCCAGACAATCAGAAGTGACAAAGTCACTGTTTTTCTCACTACACACACAATATTTATATCTCTTACAAGACAGTATTCCTACTGCCTATACATCAATACAGTTCTTTACATCTATAAAGTTTTTCACAATTAGTGCGTACATATAACTTAGGACATTACATGGTAAAAGAATGCATAATATCAATATTATACAACAGTATGCTATTGGTAAAGGGAAATAACAGCCCAATGCCATTAAACACTTTTTATTTATTTTGAATTTTAAAAATGGAAGAGTTAGGATCTCTGTTTTTATTAAGGTCTAGAACTATCATGGGGAGATTTCAGGACGTGAGGAACAATCTCCCCAGTAAGTTCAAAGACATAAATAAATGTCAGAAATAAATGTTAAATCTTCCCCTACTCTGTCCAAAACTAGTAAAAATTGTCTGAAGTTTAACATGCTTTAAACAATATGAATCTTGATTATCACACCATAATGCAGTAATACTCAATTATCCCTCCATCAAATGGAGTTTGATTTCCTTTTTTTTGTACTGAAATTGGACAAACATTATCATTACTGTGTGTCTGTGTGTCAATAGGTCAAAATTTAATTTTTACTATAACCATCCGAAAAGCAAACAATATATCCTATCTCTACTTACCAAGCGTAAACGCTACCCAGTTCCCTCTGGTCCCCAATCAAATGTCCAGAGTCTGGAAATCACAAGTCTAAATAAAGGGCAGTGTTGCTTCCACACAGATTTGCAAGTACAGTATATGCAACAAACACCATTGTTTTCATTACAACATGTTTAAGGAGTGTTTAAGCTGCAGGTATATATGCTTGTTACATGTACAACTGCCATTGGTAACTGTTTTGATCCTCTCACTGACTTTACTATGTATCTTACAACACAGTTCTTCATGATTATTATTTCATTATCACAGCCTGAAACACTGAAATACTTCAGAAATGTTGCAGTTGACCATTTAGTGGCTGGTGCATCTGAGGCTCTTAAGTTATAGTGTGTAGCCTAGAGCATTTCCCCTCTAATGCTGCTAGCAGCATTAGAGCATTAGTAGTGGATAGTAACCAGGGTTATGCTTTACGTATCTATAATTCATTTCTATGTGATAGCTTCTCTTACTAGCTGCAAGTGAAATGTGATATTGCCGCTTCTACAGTTATGCAAAATGAAATGGTATACTGTAGACATAGTACATGCAAAAAACAGGGACTTTAGTCTAAGCGAATGTAATCCACTATGAAACAATGGGACAAGTGCATTAATGTCAATGGGTGAACCTTCAAAAATAACATGACCCTTAATGCAGTTCTGCTGCAGCCCTAAAAGTGTTACCCTAATAATATAGATAATATTGTTTTTGTTACTGTAGACCTGCCATAGCCAGACTGCTCTCTGCTATCTACCATCACAGCTATTTACCTTTGCTGAGTGTGCAATGACAGGACTGTTTCCATTTCCTATGCAAGAGTTCACACTGCATTCCCTGCACAGTGTTGCAAGTCCAATTGGTGGGATTATTTGCAATTATAGCCTTACAAAAGCAACATTATCAATTTAAAAATAAACTGTTTTACAAAGAGGCAATGGACAGTCAATCTTCATAGTACCTCATATGCTGAAGCTGGGAAAAGTATATAGATGGTTTGAACCCTCTTCTCCCAGCTTTTTTGTCCCCATATTTGTCAGTATGTTTGTCATTGAAACTTCTCCTTTCTGTCTGTGACCCCCAGTTATCTTTCTTGATGCTCTTAAATATTGATTTATTACAAATGGTTTAGATGTTTGTGGCATACCTTCCTGACCAGAACGTTTGCTGTTGATTTTAATCTTAAATGCAATTCTTCTGTAAGTCTTTTATGAAGGTATGTGCAGTGAAAGTTTTTGAAATGTACTTTGTCAAAGTATAATTCTGTTCCCACTGTAGGCTTGGACAAACCACCGGCATTTGCTGTAGATATGGTGGCATAAATCTTGCTAACTACAGCTATAGCTGAATAGTTTTAAGGAGTATTACAAGACTTCAAACGCTGAAATTGTTGCAGACAAATTTAGCACTGCGAGTAACCAGTACGTGGCAGAGAAGAATCATATTTGTGTGTTGCAATTGGTGAGGGTGCTCTCCGCACACCTTTCAGCAGTCCCAGGCCAATAGAGAAGAGGTGCTTGTAATAACTCCCACGGATGGCACCGTGCAAAACACAAGATAGAGAAAATAGGTTACCAGCACTCAGGATAATTTCAAATAAATAAGTCCTTTTTATTGGACAAACGTGTCACAATAGTCAAACAGCCGACGTTTGACAGATCACATCTTTTGCCCTGAGGAAGGGACCCTGCGTGGCCCTGAAACGTCGGCTGTTTGACTATTGTGACACGTTTGTCCAATAAAAAGGACTTATTTATTTGAAATTATCCTGAGTGCTGGTAACCTATTTTCTCTATCATATTTGTGTGTAACACATAATTAACACATGTAAAAATATATAATGAATGCAAAAAGTACAGTGGAAATGTAGTAGGATTTATCACATTTATACAGCATCATCAATTTACATACTCTATGCTCAAAGAGCTTACAATCGAAGGTCTCTATCTCACATACTTGGGCCAATTTAGACAGCTGCCAAACCCACCAGCATGTGTTTGGGAGGAAACCCACACAAGCACAAACTTTATGCAGATATTGTCCTGTGTGAATTCAAACTGAGGACCCCAGTGTTGCAAGGCATTAGTGCCAACTACTTAGCCATTGTGCTGCCTAGTACACACTGAAAACTCTACAATAACTCCCTTTACATAAATAAACTTTACCTGGAAGAATATGAAGGCAGGAACATTTCTAATGCAGAATGTATTGATACTGCACCTTCTGAGCAGCAAATCAAGAATATCTACTCTTTACTCTACTCTTTACAGGCAATGTTGGCCAGAGGTAATGGGGATTCATCCAGAAAGAAGGATGATGATGAGCATCCAAGACATCGGCTTATACCCCTAGGAAGGAAGATCTATGAATTTTACAATGCACCTATAGTTAAATTCTGGTTTTATACAGTAAGTTTGCTATACCTGCTTACATTATTATTATTATTATTATTATACTATTCCCTACTATATATTATTATACTATAATACATAGTAGGGATATATACTCTGCAAAATCATAGGGGAAAGTTAAAAGAACTGCTAGCATTTTTAAAGATTGTTTTTGAATTTACATTCTGTTCATATCATATCTGTTCATATCATATCATATCATATATTTACATTCATATCATATCTAGTACATTAGTTCAAATAAATATAATTATTATTCCCTTTATTGGCATACTAATACTGCTTTTTTTTAAATCTGAGCGTGCCACATTAAAGATGAACTCCAGGATTTTTTTTATTAACCCTTGCAGTACGGGGGTAGCCCCGTACTGCAAGGGTTAACTGCTTGTTTGTGTCTAGGTTAAAAAAAGCAAATATATACTCACCCAAAACGCCTAGCGGCTTCTTCTTAGGGCGGTCAATGGTATGTCTTTCCCCCTCCCCAGCAGTCTAAGGTCCAGTAAATCATCATGTCTATACACTGTGCATAGATGTGAAGACGATGAGGAACATTCCTGGACAGGCTGGCTCAGAGCTTTGGGTGAGTAAATCTTTGTTATTTTATCAACTAGAGCACTTAACCCTTGCAATTGGGGGGGGGGGGGTTAGTAGCCCCACTGCAAGGGTTATTTTTTAAAAATCCTCGAGTTCTTCTTTAAGGACATGTTCATACCATTTTCAGGACCAGATCTGGAATGCGGTGCATTGCGCTTTGGTGTGTTTTTGTCGCGATTTTGCCGTGTTCCGGAGCTGGGTTTTTTTCTGCTTTTTTCTTTGTTAGCTTAAAATGGGCTTTCAGGCGAGGTCCAGTGCATTCCTGTGCTTTTGCATGTGTTTGTATGCCTTTTTGAAGTGTTCCATGCGTTCCAGTGCATTCCAGACCAGACAAAATGAGACGTGCAGTATATTTCTGGTCTGGTCTGGAACGGACTGCGCTGGTGGGAACAGAGGCCAGAAAAAGCATAGGGATGCATTATGGGTCCGGAAACAATCTTGTCTGGTATGGAGTTGATCTGGATGTGGTGTGAACACAGGCTTCAGCTTATATAAGAGCAGTGTGAACAAGTCAATTTCGTATGAGTTAAATTATATTTACAAATGAAAATTTGTTGCAGAAAAGTGACATTTAAAAAAAAAAGATGTGTTGTTTTCACTATTGACAGTCCACACAAACAATTAAAAAAAAAGCGTGGGGTCCCCCGGTTCATACAAGACCCTTTAAGTCTGGTAAGAATTTTACCTCAACACCAAAAGAAAAAACAGAAGCACAGCCTCCCTACAATCTAGAGCTGCAACTAACTAATTGATTAATCAATAATAATGGATAATGAGAATAGTTGTCAACTATTCTCATTATCAATTAGTTGGTTGGGTCCCCTAGCTCTCTCCTCCATGCTGGTAGGTGGGCACAGCAAGCAAGTGGGCGGGTGCAATAGCCAGCCTGCTATTGGCTATTGCAATTTGAAATGGTCAAAAGTAGGCTGGATATTGCACCTGCAGACTACCTGCTCTATTTACATTCAGCTGCCGTCTGTGGAATCTTACCACTGGCAGCTGCCATTCCCTGGCTGAAGCTATTCAAGCGCCATGTGCTTACAATACAATTATTACAAAATAAATTGATAAAAGGTGGAAAAAAAGTAATTTTCAGTTTCGGCCTGACAAATTCTCCAGTGGTAGGTGTGTTGCAGTGCTATTCATTTCAATGGCACCCCATTGCGGTCACGACTCCAAAATGATCGTCATTCTTTTTATGGATCACAATAACAACCTGTGCACTGCACTGCTGTGCATTGAGAAAAAAAGGCACAGGTGCATTTTTGGTGCATCGACATGCCTTTTTTTCCAACATACTTCAATGACAGGGCAAAACATGCATGAAAATACATTACAACGCGCATCAACGTGGGTTAAAATTCCCTTGCATCAAAAAGTGGCTAAAAATCTCGAAAAAGTGCAGATGAATGTTCAGTGGGCAAAAGCCCATTCACACCACTGCAGTGCATTACCACATGTGCATAACGTGCACTGAATTAAGGCAGCCCACTTTTTTTAATGGGATGCATAACATACCAAATAGGACCAAAAATGGCAGTAACATTTCAGGCAGCATACACACCACGGACTGTGCTGCAGTGCAGTGTGCATGTCAGCAAGGAGCTTGGGGGGAGGGGGGGTTCATAAGAATGTTGGTAACAATGCATTGTAACATGAGGACAAGGGAAAAAAAGGGAACGTTGCAGAGAGATTACAGGGATAGCTCACTGAATGCAAATGCATGCAGTATTTTTATTATACAGTGCTATTTGTGCATTTTTACAAATACAGTTTATTTAATCAGCTGACTAATGGTTTTTTTACACAGATCATTTGAATGTATTGCATGTTAATAAAATAAGTAATGTTTGCAGTATTTTGTACATAACATTGAGTTCACAAAAATGATCACTCTGGTTAAAATAGCTTACATATTATAGTGAACTATACCTTTTGCAGTCTTTGATCTTTTTACGATATCTACGGGCAGCACAACACCTACAACTGCTCCTGGACCCATCTAAATGAATCCATAATTACCCATATTAATCCTTAATTAACCCTATTAAAATAATCCTTCACATGGACCTCCACTAACTCTAGCTCAATGTGCGCCAGAGTTTTGGAAACAAACTACAAAGTACTTCTCCGTTGGTACATCACCTCCTATCAGGCCCAACACTTTTTATAAGTGCAAAAACCACTGTTTGTAAAACTTTTACGTGCGGACACCCAATGTTTGAGTGTATGTACTGCTTGTAACTTAACTTTTATATGTGGGAAAAAATAAAAAAACCTTTTGAAACAAATAAAATAATCCTTCACAATCTTAGACCAATATATGTTCATCACAAGATATTCCTCAAAAGATTGTACTGTTTCCCTTGTAAAAATAATGATTTCACACCAATGTAATATTTATTATTGTGGACTAAACAATTTTTATAAAAATTATAATGAGAAAAAGCAAAGAATGCACGTAAAATAACTCACAGCCTTGTATTTTGATGGGCACACATTTTTATAATACCATTGTGTTTTTCTTTATACAGATTGCTTACATGAGTTATCTTATGCTCTTCAATTATATTGTATTAGTAAAAATGGATCGCTGGCCTTCAACACAGGAGTGGATTGTTATATCGTACATCTTTACACTGGGAATAGAAAAAGTGAGAGAGGTAAAACAAAGTGTGTTTTTTTTACATCAATGCCAACACACTATGAAACCTCCTTTGTTGTTTATAAATTCAGTTATCTTTACTTTTTTTATTTTAATATTTCTTTATTATATTTTAAGGGTGATATGAAACATAAAAAGTAGAAGCCTATAAACCGTCAATGACACGAAAGTTACTAGTTTGTAAAATACAATAGTCATTCATCAAACATGATCAACAAATAAAACATCATGAAGTCAGTGTACAGCAGAATATTAAAATAAAAAAAAATACAGATAATATAGTATACCAAGACATATGAAGACAAAGATAACATAAATTAGAGTCTAATCGTTCCAGAATACTGTGTGATACACAGTTTTTCAAATTGAGTTTGTTAATGTTGTTGAAGTGCCCCCCAAAAAATTATAATGTAGTTGCACCATATTCAAGACATCTTTAATTAGGGGAGGATCAGTAGACTTCCACCTCTTAGGCCCCATTCACACTGAGCGATTCGCAAATTGCGCGTTTGTCACGCGATTTGCACTTTGCACGATATCGCACGGTTTGTCGCGCAATATCGCGCAAATGGTTACATTGAGCAAACTAGAATCGCTGCAAAATCCGCTCCAAAAAGGGTCCTGCTGTAGCGACGCACGACCCGCGACAACGACGGACAGAGCCCCATTGCCATGCATTGGAGAGCGATATCGCGCAGATTACCATGCGATAAATCGCTCAGTGTGAATGGGGCCTTAGTCATATGTAATAAGGCAACCAATAAGACATTAGTCACTACTACACAGTGGGATGGGAGAATATTGTTTATTCCCAAGTTAATAATTAAATTAATAATTATTAATAAAGCAGGTGTGGGTTTAATGGGATCATTAGTTATTTTTGCGACGATCTGAAAAATCATTCTCCAATAGCTACAGAGGTTCTTACAGGGCCATAAAATATGGAGTAAAGTACCAACTTGGCCACAATCCCTCCAACAAAGGTAAGAGTTAAGGTGCCCAAACACCTTGCGATAATCGTACGATAATCGCGGGAAATCCCGCGATCGTACGATTATCGCAAGGTGTGTGGAAGGCGTGCGACCTCTCCTACTGTAAGGTCACACGACTTTTATCTTATGAACATGTTCGAAAACCCGCCGAGAATCGTACGATTGTCGGCGGGTGTGTAGCATGTTCGCAAGATAAAAGCGCACACTGCCCGTTTAGCACTGGCGGGCTTGCGATCATCGCAAGTACGATCTGCCTGTCCAAGATAGGCAGATTGTACGTTTTTTTAATTACCTTACAACCATCGCAAGACAGAAGTCTTGCGATGGTTGTAAGGTGTGTACCCAGCATTAGTCTGGGAGAATTTAGCATGTTGGTAAGGGGTAGGATACCATCTCAATGTTATTTTCAGTAAAGTTCCCATAAAGTACCACAACTAGAGGCATCGTTACATTTTATGTTTATTTTAGATGTTAACAATTATTTTCTAGCTAATCTTACTTGTAAATTATGTTTATCTGTGACTTTATGATAAGGGATTGCCCTAGGTACATCCAGGGCCGGATTTTCCACTAGGCCAACCAAGTCCCGGCCTTGGGGCAGCAAGCAGTAAAGGGGTAGCAGGGGTGTGGAATTCCTATCTCCCGGGCATGCAGTTTCGGGTGGCGGGTGGGTAGTTGTTTCCTACATTTAGCCCTGCTTTGGGCTAAATGTACAGCGGGGAAGCCGTCGCTTGTTCTGTACAAGTGATCCCGGCGATGTTGCTTGAGATCCCTTGTATGCAGCCTGCAGGTCTGTTATTCT